TAATTTCTCAATTCCACTTAAATTAATTAAACATTGAATAAATTTGGGGTCGGGGTGTTACAATATCAACAATTCTATAAAGTTTTGTCTGCCACTTAAACCTTTTGTTTATTTTTATTTTTTTTGAAGACCTTTCTTATTAATTTGAAAGAGATGTTTAATTAACCCACTAATAATTTACAGAAAAATTTCATCATTAATTTGAAGTTGTAACTTGTACCCTGTGCTCATTCATGGCTAGTGTGCCAGCAATCCAGACGTAATTTTCTTGCTTGTAGATACATCAGGATGCAAGCCACACACTGAAACCAGGTTACTCTTAATTCCTCATGTTTCTTTCCTGCAAAAGGATAGACCCTTCGCGGCGAATTTTGATCTTTACCAATTAGAATTTCACCGGAACAGACCTTTCGCAGCAAATTTTATCTCTTCCAACAAAATTTGCCAAGACAGACCTTTTGCAGTGAAACTGATCCGGACAAAGTGACACCAGGAGAACTTTCCCGCAAATGTCGCAGGGACAAACCTTTGGCAAATTTTATCTTTCCCAAGAAATTTTGCCGGGATAGACCTTTCCAACAAAGTTTTGCCTGAAATACCTTGCGAATTTTGATCTTTCGGACAAAAGTTCAGCGGGATTGGGGCAAATTATGTTGTTCTCATTTCATCTCTTTTACTGCCACTTGTTTTTAGTGTTTCTTTTTCCCCCACAAAAACCAAAATTTCCACACGTGATAATCATGTGGTGAATCAGAATCAAACGGGATTTGAATAGAATTTTCGTCTCTTCCTCTTCGTATAACATATATACTTTTGTTTCTGTTTTCCCTGCTAAACTTTTGCATAACATATTTAAAAAAGTACTGGAACTCACAATGAGTACTTTGTTTAATTCACACATCGCTAAGTAAGTAGTCGGCTGAGAAAAATAGGTACCTCTATATCTCACTTGATCACAGAAGGCTGAGAAAAACAGAGAGAAGAAAAGGGTTGGAGACTTGGAAATTTAATGTGAAAGGTTGAAACTTGAAAGTTAGGCTTGGCCGGGGCTAAACAAAATCACAATTTATAAACATGATAAAACATTGAAGTCTTCGTGTTCGTCTATGTTTTTTTGGCATTAATGGATAATAAAATATAAATAATATATATTTTACAAAGTCAACTTTTATTGTTCTATACAACAACATAACCTGGAAATTAAGCCAAAGCGGGCTGGGAGGAGACCCCCATGCATGACCCAAACTGAGTCAACGCCCCATGCCAAGAGCAACAAGAGTTCTATGTGATATGATAACTTGGAAATAGATGTAGCCGCCTGGTTTTGTCGCCTAACATGAGAAACTAGAATAATTAAAGCAGCCGTGATGGAAGTTTCGCGTACATGATATTTGATACATGAAGCCTAACCTAACATGATCTTGCCAATTGTTTGTTATCAGACGATGCTAATCCCATGATGTAATCCAATTTCTTGTCTTCATGTCTTCATATATTTGCATGATTTCACATATGGGTAATTTAAACAATAGGAAACTGTTGTGGCTACCAATATCATCAACACTAGTAATGTTGTGGCTACCCTTTTGGATTCTGGCAATTTTGTCCTACAATAAGTCAGCCCTTGAGTTGATCAAAACAGATCAACGGTGAAGAGGGTATTGTGGCAAAGTTTCCATTACCCGAAGGACGTGCTTTTGCCAAGTACGAAACTAAGTGTTGACCATAGAACTGTACATTTGGTCCCTTACATCTTGGTTTACTGAGTACAGCGCGGGCCAATTGAAGATTAGAAGATGTATGTGGGGGTGGTTTACTCGAAGCTTTCAGGTGATGCTTGTGCGAATCTCCAAATTTTCTTTAAATATATAGTATGTTATTAACAAGGCATGCACTAGTTTCAATCGTCCTGTTACGTATTGACCTGTGTTATCATAAAAACATTAATAAATAAATAAGAAAATTTTCATTATATGTATAAATTAATTTCTAAGAGTTTGAAACTTTGAAAGTTCTTTGTCATAGATATATCTTTCATTGTAATCTTCTTTCCGTAATAAGAAAAGAGATAATAAAAAGGGTCACGACACACATCTATCCCACTCAAAGGTGTACACTATATATTTTGGTATTTCTCAGGATTGATCCATCACTCACAAACCATTAGGGCACCCCTATCTTGACCGAGGATGCTTAGACAGGCTCACCGACCGAATTGACCTCAGAATAGAAATATCACTCATATCAGTGTCGAACATTTATCGACGACTTTTAACCGCTAGTCAAAGACAACATCCATGCTCGTAAAATACCCAAATCAACATTTGGTACATGTCACATACTTCTACATAAAATAAATAAATAAAACAAATAACAAGCATTGAGGAAGAATATATACAGAAGTATATATTGGAATAATTCACCTCGAGTACTAGGAAGTTAAGGTTGTACTAACAATGTATATACAAACAAGCGGAACATTCTACTTAATTGTTGTTGCTCGGGGTCTCCTCCTAGCCGGCTTTGCTATTCTCGGTATTGGAGTATAGTAACTCTCCAGCTCATAAATTTTGATATTGGTTTCAGCCTTTCACTTTTATTCATTCTCTCTCTCTCTCTCTCTCTCTCTCTCTCTCTCTCCCCCCTATAACCCTTCTATGAGCACATTGACTTCCTTTTTTCTTTTTTTCTTTTTGTGGCTTTAAAATATATCATTTCCATCTTGAAAGTTTAAGTGATAAGATTCTTATATGTCTGAAAAGAGGAGTTTTCATGACCATCTAGACAGTCTGGCCTTTGGTCATTCTCATGGCTGCTGGTCGGATGATGAAGTGCTTCATAATGTTGATCATTTTTGCATCCCGGTGGACATGGCACAATGCAACCGACACATTGAAACAAGGGGACACTCTCAATTCCACCGGTTCCCTAGTTTCATCATCAGGGAAGTTCTCTTTGAATTTTACTCTAAGAACGATCCATGGCTCAGATTCCAACTTTCTTTCTATCATGCGCATTAAACGTGAGGCAAACAGAGCATGGATTGCGAACCCAGACTTACCTATTTCATCCTCCTCTTCCCCACTTCTCACCTTGGACACCAACAATACGTTGAAAATTATTCACCAGGGTGGCGATCCTTTTGTCCTTTCCACTGCTCCACAAACTAATGACACTAGTACTAGTGTTGTGGCTACCCTTTTGGATTCGGGCAACTTCGTCCTGCAAGAAGTGAGCTCTGTCAACAGATCAACGATCCGGGTCTTTTGGCAAAGTTTTGATCATCCACTAGACACATTTTTACCAGGCATGAAATTGGGGATTGACCATAGAAATGGCCACATTTGGTCTCTTTTATCACGTGGATCTAGGGACAACCCGCTGTCCCCCGGTCCTTTCAGCCTTGATTGGGATCCCAATGGACACCAATTGAAAATCAAGAAAGATGGGGTGGTTTATTGGACTAGCGGGGTCTTTTCTGATGGGAGATTTGAATTTATTTTGCCTGATGTGTCCAAGAAGAGGTACAATTTTAGCATTGTTTCAAATCAAAATGAAGACTACCTCACTTACACTAGTAAAAATGATCCAAGTGCTCCTGAGCCAGAATGGGTTCTATTCCCAGAGGGGTATCTTTCTGACTATGGGGCACACGTCGATAATTATATTACAGAAGTACGGTACTGTGATGGCTATAACATTGTTGGAGGGTGTGTGAAAAGGGACCGCCCAAGTGATTGTATTGAGTTATTTGGTGATGAATTTGAGATTAAAAAAGGTTACTTCAAGATCATCAACTCTACAAGTATAAATACTTCAAGACCCGCAAGCTGGATTGGCACCGATGATATTGACTGTAAGGCCAATTGTTGGCAAGATTGTGACTGCCTTGGATTCGACTTATCATTTCTTAATCAGACTAAGGATGCACGATGCCAATTTTGGAGTGTGGACTGTGAGTTCATTGAAGAGCTCACTGCCAATACAAGTTTTGTTTTGCAGCCAAAATCACCACATTCACCACCTCATAAAAAGATTGGTAGGTGTCGCTATGTACTTATCTTTCTAATATATTGAGCTTCTCGTTTTAGAATATGTATTCTCACTAACCATATCTCTAGATGCAACACCCGCACGCAAGTGGTTCTGGATTGGCACTTCTATTGCTGCAGCTCTAGTGGTAATGTTGTTCTGCATCTTTTGCTATCGACTAAGAAGGACAAAACTTATACTTTCAGCAGGTAAATGCTTTGAGCATAATGTGCGCACTTGTTAGCCAAAATTTCAAATCTTTTTTATCATCGTTAACTATTGAAATTTGAAATTTCAAAATAGCCAAGATTAACGGGGCAAAGATTCAGAACGAATTACTTGACTTCATGAAATCTAAGAGACCTACTCATCATGTGAATGGGCTTCAAAATGATGATGGAAACATAAGGCCTCATGATTTAATCGTATTTAGCTATGTATCTGTCTTGGCTGCCACGAGAAACTTCTCAGAAGAAAACAAACTCGGACAAGGGGGCTTTGGACCTGTCTATAAGGTAACATTTAAAATTATAGAAAGTTTTTCTATTTATACTATGAATAGCCCAGAAATATATTACGTAGTTCTTTTCTTTTTGAAACAATTACTAATAAGTATTATGGATTAACAATTCAGGGAAAATTGGTTACGGGACGAGAAATAGCTGTGAAGAGGCTTTCAAAATGTTCTGCGCAGGGAGCATTGGAGTTTAAGAATGAATTGATACTCATATATGAACTTCAACACACAAACCTTGTTCAGCTTTTTGGATTTTGCATCCATGGTGAAGAGAGGATGTTGATATATGAGTACATGTCAAACAAAAGCTTGGACTACTTTTTATTTGGTTGGCAATCAAGACTACTTTACTCTTAGTGCTCGATTTGATCATTTCTTAACCTTAATATGGGAAGCAAGTCATTTCTGATTAACTGTCAAAATCTATAATTACTAACAAATTTTTTACGTAGTTGACTCTATATTGGACAGATTCAAGCCGAGGTGGTCTACTAGATTGGAAGAAGCGTTTTAGTATAATTGAAGGGATCACACAAGGGTTGCTGTACTTACACAAATACTCGAGAACAAGAATAATTCATAGAGATTTAAAAGCTAGTAATATTCTGCTTGACGAAAGCATGAATCCCAAAATTTCTGATTTTGGTATGGCAAGGATTTTCACGCATAACGAGGAAGAAGCAAATACTAATAGGGTTATGGGGACATAGTAAGTGATCATGACATCCTTATTATAACATGTTCCACTTTTAGTTGGTAATTTTCTAAACATGCATTCAGATAAGGGGATGTACTAAAGACATTTTCGTTTCCTTCTTTTACAGTGGTTATATGTCTCCCGAGTATGCTATGAAAGGAATTTTTTCAATAAAGTCCGACGTCTATAGTTTTGGAGTGCTAATGCTTGAAATCATAAGTGGGAGGAGAAACAATAGCTTCTACAATGATGATCGGATGCTCAATATAGTAGGCTACGTATGTCGAACAAATTAACAATAACAGTTATGGCTAGCTAAAATTTTCTTATTTGAGTTGCTCAAAATACTTCTGTACGTTTCTTCTGCAGACATGGAAATTATGGAAAGAAGGTGCAGGGTTGCAGTTGATGGATCCAACACTAGGTGATTCATGCAATGGTGATCAACTATTGAGATGCATTCATGTTGGTCTACTCTGCGTGGAGGAACATCCAGCCGATCGGCCCACTATGCAAGATGTCGTTTCTATGTTGACAAATGAAAATATGTCACTGCCTGTACCTACAAAACCAGCATTTTGCACAGAAAGAAATGTGGTCACGTCTGGCATAGCTGGAAAGGGACCAGAACTTATATCAATAAATGGGCTGTCCATTTCCGATTTGGATGGACGTTAACACCTCATGACATAGTCTTCTTCATATATATATATATATATATATATCTATGGGTTAAAGAAAACAAAATTTTGGGCTAAAAAATTTGGAAAACGAACGTCTTAGGGACAAGGGATTTAGGGTCACTTTATTTATTTTTAGCCTAATGTATTAACAATATTCACATAAAAATCGTTATATCCACAATAAGTATGTTATGAATAGCCATAGGCACATAAATAATTATAGATATAAAATTATAAAATTTATTGAGCAAAAGGGAAAAGAAGAAGAAGAATCAGAAAATTTGGACAGAAATGAAGCTGATTTGGTCTCCCGAGAACGCAACCAAGGCCTACATCGACACCGTTCCATCTGTAAGCAATTCTTTCTTGAAAAGTTTCTTGCTTTAGTTGATTTCGTGACGTATGAATTTAATTTCTTGGGTTTCATTTGTTTTTCTTGATTTTTATGATCTGGGCTTTGTTTGCAGTGTGAGGTTTTTCATGAATCTGGGGTTGCAGAGCTCGTTTCAGCCAGGGTGGAAAGCAGAGTTCATTGTTGAGACGTGGTCACTGCAACAACAAGCATTGGACTTGAAATTGCCAGACACCACACGTGTGTGTGGTCCCAGATGACCAGTCGAGGGCAGTATTTGTGACAGCAATGAAAGAGGCAGGGATGGCGCCAGAGGTTCTTGCTGGGGAGCCAGAGGAGGTCATGGCCGAGCTTGTGGGGATAGATTTTCTGGTTGTGGATTCAAAGCCAAAGACTTTGCTAGAGTTTTGAGGCAGAGCCCTAGGGGTGCAGTTTTGGTGTGCAAGAATGCCGATTCAAGAAGTGCTTCTAGTTTCAGATGGAGAAGTGTTGTGGATTGTGGGTCAAGACGTATATACAAGTTTAGGTCACCAAACAGAAAGATTAAAAAAAACACACTTGGATCAAGACGTCTTAACCCACAATGCACAAAGCATTTCTTGAATTGGCATTCTTGCATACCAAAACTGCACCCCGATGGCTCAGTCTTGCCTGCCTCAAAACCCTAGCAAAGTCTTTGCGCTTTGAATCCATAACCAGAAAATCTATCCCCACAAGCCCGGCCATGACCTCCTCTGGCTCCCTAACAAGAACCTCTGGCTCCATCCCTGCCTCTTTCATTGCTGTCACAAATTCTGCCCTTGACTGGTCATCTAGGACCACACACACGACACGTGTGGTGTCTGGCAATTTCAAGCCCAATGCTTGTTTGTTGCAGTGACCCCTCCTTGTGACCACGTCTCAACGATGAACTCTGCGTTCCAACCGGCAGCCATGGCTGAAACGAGCTCGGCAATCCTAGAGCCATGGCTGAAACGAGCTCTGCAATCCTAGATTCATGAAAAACCTCACACTGCAAACAAAACCCAGATCATAAAAATCAAGAAAAACAAATGAAACCCAAGAAATTAAATTCATACGGCATGAAATCAACTAAAGCAAGAAACTTTTCAAGAAAGAATTGCTTGGAACGGTGTCGATGTAGGCCTTGGCTGCAGTATCGGGAGACCAAATCAGCTTCGTTTCTGTCCAAATTTTACTTCTGATTCTTTTTCTTCTTTTCGCTTTTGCTCAATATATGTGAGCAAAGTGAATAGCTATATTATTAATCGCTATAGGCACATATAGAACTATATATATGTCTATAATTGCACAAAGGTTCATACCGATGGTTATTGGTACACATAAATAAATCCCATAATTAGAACATTAAAAACTGACGGAAAAATTACTGGCTAGATTATATGAAAAGGGCATTTTAGGAATATGAAAAATTCGAACTTGCTGACTCATCATGTAATATAAGGAAATTTGATGAGTTGAAGTTGTTGAACATAAAGTAAACATATGCATTAGGATCATTTAATTTGAAACGAACACAACTTACAATCCTGATATGGACAATAATAAAAGCGCAATCTACAGGGGTCCAAGAGATTTGTAGTCACTCACCGTTGGATGTAAATTTAACGTTTCATTCACTCTTGCACTTATTTTAAGAAACTTTTTTGAACCATTTGATTAATATCTAACAGTGGGTGACCACAATCTCTTGGTCTCCTGTGGTCCAAGAGATCGGGACTAAATAAAAGGGTGTTATAAAATCAATTGAGTACACCCTAATATTTAAATCAAAATGTAAAATTAACTAAGTACACTTTATTTAATTACCAAAAATACCCTTGAAGTATTCTAATACACTATCACACAACACCAAACCCATTTGAGAGCTGCCAGTGACGAGTTCAAATTATATATGAGCAGCCACAGTTCATTGCAAGCACTGGAAACCAAAGCTTCTCAAATGCGCAGTTGACTAAGAACACAGACACAAATCAAATTATTGTTGCTGATGTGAGTTTGATGTGCTAGTTGTCATATTTTATGCATTTTGTTTCAATCTTAGTATCCGTTTGGCATTGATTATTTAGGGGAAAATCACTTTATTTGAAAGTGACGCGCGTGTTAGTGTGTTTGGTAAAAATAGGAGAACGCAATTATTTGAGAAATTCACTGTTAACGACAATGCGTAAATTACTCAAATGGTCCTCAAACTTGTACTCGATTTACATTTTGGTCCATAAATTAAATTATTAGTCCAAATGATACATAAACTTTATTTTAATCGTCCATTTGATCCAACCGTTACATACTGTCAATACTGTTGTTAAATATGAGGGCAAATTGGTCATTTCGTACGTTAAAAATAAATAAAAACTCTCTCTCTCTCTCTCTCTCTCTCTCTCTCTTCCCCCATGGCCACCACCCTCAAGCTCCAACCCCCAAACCCATGCTCCTCCCTACCCTCCACCCAAGCCAGCAACTACAGACAAAGAAAAGAAAAAAATCTTCCACAAACCCCCTCCCAACTAACCCAGAACTTCCACAAACCCCTTCCTCTTGCCCACCTCCTCAGGAGCTTTCCTCTTCCTCTAAGTCTCTTCAGCAATCTTTGTTAGTATTATTTTGGACATTAATTGTTGGGTTGAATGGTTGAAGGCCATTGACAAACCATCTTCTTCTTTTTTCCAGCTCTTGCCCCAAACCCATCTCCTCCATCTCTCACACAATAACACCAACTTTCTCAATTCTCAGAATTTTTCTGTCTCGAAGTTCTTATCAATGGAGGCCATTGTTTGCCGCGACCACAACAACAAAGAGAACCTCCCTCCTTCCTCTTCCATTGCAAATCTGACTAACCCCGTTCCTGAAAATGAGCCTTCTTCCAAGAAATGTAATAAGAAGACGAGATTAAGGAGGAATCCTCTTGTTGATATAACCAATCTCTACATTTACGGCAATCAATCAAGTTTCGGCCTTTCGGGTCATCTACCAAGCGCAACTCTTCCCTTCTCTTCTTCTTCTTCCTCTGTCTCTGGCTCTGCATCAAATTCTCGGAAAAGAAAATCAACCCAAGAGGATAATACAAATTCTAGTAAAGTCAACAACTCCAACTCCAAGTCTCTGAGCATGGGTTTCAGATAATTTTTCTTATGTGTTTTCTTCCTTTGCTGTTTCTGTAATATCTAATTGTACACAGTAATTGGAGAGGTCTATAGGGAATTGGGGAGAAGAAATCGAAGGGAGGGGGTTTGGGTCTCATGATTTTTTTTCTCTTTTTCTTCAATTATTTTCTAATTTTGTATTTATTTTAATTCTATTTTATTTGTTAATTATGAAAAGTCGTATTTGCCCCTAAAATTTGGTTACATTTAACAGAAAATGTAACAGTTGGATCAAATGGACGATTAAAATAGATTTTATGTATCATTTAGACTAATAATTTAATTTATGAACCAAAATGTAAATCGAGTACAAATTTGAGGATCATTTTAGTAATTTACCCATCAAATAGTTTGGGAAAACAAGAGTGGAGGTGATTTTTGTTTCAACTTTCTCGAGAATCAAGTTGGAACAGTCAGAACATTAATGAATTTTTACAAACTACCCAACATAACCTTACTTCTTTTTACAATTTCCACAAAATGCCCTCTTTTCTATTTTCTATTCCACATACTGTGATTCTTTCATTTCTTTTCGCCGTCCAATAGCTTGGCAATGCGAGATTGATTGCATAAAGTCCCAAAGTCCAATATTTGTTTTCAGACCCCAAAAAAAAAGTCCAATATTTGTTATATTTCAAATTTAAAATTATGGAAATTTTCTTACACTGTTAAAATTATAATAGTGTAAAATTTTAGTGCAGTCAAAATAGTTTTCCACACATTATTTATTTTATGATTAAAATAATTTTTAGGGTGTTATGGTTAAAACAACATATTTAACACAAGAATTACATAAGCGATTTTTTTTTAACCGAACACATGAATAGAAAAGTCATTTCAACATAATGTCATTTTTACTAATTATACACAACTCACAGCACTTTTACACAAATAAAGTTTTTCACATTCAAAGGTACACAAGAGCATACTTCTCGTTCAAATACACATAAAGGTAGTACTCTGTATCCAAATACAGAGTTTGAAATCTTAGTTAAAATGCTTATGCCAGAGATTTTTGGTCCAATGTCACGGACCGAACTACCTAGTGGGCTACAAAAGGCTGTAGCCCAGGTAGATTTTTAGAAAAGAAAGTATTAAACCTATATAGCTCATTGGCTGAGACTATCATCTTGTGGCTTTTGGCAGTTTCTCAAGAAGTATGCAAGTTTGAAGTCCCACATAAAGAAATAAATATACTAGTATCCTAATTGGTCCCACATAATGAAGTATCCTCTATTATAATAGACTATGTCAAAATAAAAAATATATACATGTGAAACTTGGCCCTAACAGCAGTCCCAAAAAATATACATGTGACTTTTAACTGCCGGTCAAAGACAACATCCATGTTCGTTTCACTATATCATCCTAAAGAGTGAAATACCCAAATCAACATTTGGTACATGTCACATACTTCTGCATTTAAAAATAAATAAAAATAAAAAACAAATAAAAAGCATTGAGGAAAGCATATATACAAAAGTATATATTGGAATAATTCACCTTGAGTACTAGGTAGACTTGTTTAATTAACACACTAGCCTAAGTTCATTTTATTACTTGGAAATTTAAGGTTGTACTAATAATGTAGATACAAACAAGCAGAACACAATGAATCATTGGCACATCCATAGCCGATATGCTTTGAATTGGTTGTTGCTTGGAGTCTCCTCCTAGCCGGCTTTTCTATCGGTATTGGATTATAGTACCTTCAAACTTAACTCTCCAGTTCATAAATTTTGATATTGGTTTCACCCCTTCACTTGTATTCACTCACTTGTATTTTCTATTTCAGCCCCCCCCCCCCCCCCCCCCCCCCCCCCCCCCTATCCCTTCTGTGAGCTCATTCACTTTTTTTAAAACTGATTTATTTTGTGGCTTTAGAACATATCTTTTCCATCTTGAAAGTTTAAGTGATAAGATTCTTATATTTCTCAAAAGAGGAGTTTTCATGATCATCTAGACAGTCTGGCCTTGTGGTCATTCTCATGGCTGCTGATTGGATGATGAAGTGCTTCATTAAGTTGATCATTTTTGCATGCCAGTGGACTTTGTACGATGCAACAGACACACTGAAACAAGAGGACACTTTCAATTCCACAAGTTCCTTCGTTTCATCATCAGGGAACTTCTCTCTGAATTTTACTGTAAGAACTATCGGTGGCTCAGATTCCAGCTTTCTTTCTATCATGCGCATTAAACGTCATGGAAACATACCATGGATTGCGAACCCAGACTCACCTATTTCATCCTCCTCTTCCCCATTTCTTACCTTGGGACACCAATAACACGTTGAAAATTACTCATAAAGGTGGGGATCCTTTTGCACTTTCCACTGCTCCACAAACTAATGACACTAGTACTAGCGTTGTGGCTACCCTTTTGGCAAAGTTTTGATCATCCACTAGACACATTTTTACCAGGCATGAAATTGGGTGTTGACCTAAATATATTACCAATTTTACTAAACTTAAAAGAAGACTTAAAAGTATAACCAATTCTGCAGTTCCAAAATAAATAAAATAATAATTTGTAAGTCATATCCCTTGCCTGGACTGGAGATAGGTGATGGGTGCCTCATTGTTGAACTGTGCGTGGCTCCTTTACTATTTTGGACTCCTTCTTATAAGAAGTTTCACCAATTAACTAAGACATCCGTTAATTGCTTCTCCCCAATATGCTCATTTCCAGAAGCTACGGAAGTCTTTGTTTCACCTACAACTGAGATAAGAAATCATAAGCATTGCACATATAGCATCCATTTACCATAGGAATAAAATGCTATCTTCACACTTTCACTAGGGGCCTTTGGTTCTGACGAAGACATAAGAGCAACCAATTGCACCACTAAGAGTATATCAAAAAGCAAAAACTTTCACTATCTAGCATGTACTCAATCATCCCTATATACAAGGGGAGA